GAAAAGTACTGAGCAAGCAGGTGGTACAGTCTGTGTTTCATCCCTTAGCTGCAAACACATCCGCTGTTGCGCCTGTCGAAAAAATTTGAAACTTCAAGTAGATTTTATAAAACAAATTATTTATGAAATTATGAAACATTTATGAAACAATTTATGAAACAAATTATGAAACAAATGAAACAAACAGATTCAGACAAACAAATTCAGATTTTAGATACTTCTTTTACTATCCGATGAATTAATTTGACTGTTAAATCCCTGCCTTATCATGATGCGAAATCTCCGTAGACGCATTTTCAGCTATCAGTACTGATGATCACATTTGTCACTTGCATTTTCTTCCATTGTCATGAAACAAACAATGGCAACAAGTATTTTAGAACTTCAAAAAAAATTTAAATATACAAGCCCAGATCGGCTGACAGCTAGTGCAGAGGCCCGATGGAGAGTAGCATCCTAGGAATTCACGTTAGCGCCAAATTCAGCTGTACCAAGCGGGTAACTCCCGAGCTCCATGTTTCCAGGGAGATATCCGAGTGGTCATTGTGGTCATCAGTTGGACTTGTAAATGTAAGAATTTAAACGAAACAATAGAAAATCAAAGAGGAAGTACAGGACTATAGTTCTAAGTAGAAGGAACTCTGGTACGAGAAGATTCTTTTGTGCTAAAAGAGATTCTTTGCTAGAAGTCAGATTTCCTAAAAGAAATTTTCTTGATCTGTTAGATAAATTTAAGTACCACTTGAAGAGCTACCACCAATTCCTGTTTTGCTAGCAATTTCAGCTACTGTGTTCCCACAGCAGCTTCGTTTTGCGGTAAAATATGATGCACAATAGCCAGCTCGTCACAAACTATTTTTTATAACCATACCTGTCTTCCTCTTTCATTTCATCAGTAACTTCTTTGTATGTGTTTTTTTGCGTAAATTTGCGCAAGTTTGGCGAAATAAGCCATACTATTAAGCGTTAACATGCTTGTGTCTTTACTGCTTCTGAAATTGAAATTTGCATATTCGTTATATTGAAGCTCAGCTGCGCAAAAGCACAGATGTGTACAGTAATATTTGCATTTACAATAAAGTAAAAGGCAGTATGGGCCTCAAAGGCCCTCTAAGGAAATGGAAGGAGGTAGTTACCAGGGCCAGGGAATAAGCTAAGCAGCCAAAATTGCCATCAGCTTGCTTGTAAGCAGCTCTCGA